TAGTCTTACCCACGTAGAAAGCTCCACAGGTGCAAATCATAACATACTCCACACCTATGGAGCAATCTACGTTGTATCGCAGCCTAAACCAAGATTCATTAGGGAGTACACATCCCGTACTCTCCTTAATATAGGGATACTAAGGACAGTTACCACACTTACTGTATATGTGCCTTTACACCATTTACCATGTTCAGCTCTAGCAGAATTATAACTATGCACGCCTTCTATAGACTACCTCAGGATATGGTTTCACATATTTTCTCACCACTTCATCTGTGTTGAGTAGGCACCAAAATGTTTCTAAGGCACCCCTGACTTGTTGATGGTGATACATATATGTTGTTATGAACTTAACTGTCTACTGATTTTTCCTTCTCTTTACGTCAAAACAGTAACTTTGTATTAACAACTGATGATCCCTCAAAACTGCTCTTTTGAACAGTTTTGTTTGATCTTAAGATACTGTCCATAGAGGATGCTGTCAATGAGTGCCCTAGGATGAACACTATGGGCCCCAAGAACGGTATTGCGAGCAGTCTTTTTTCTGAATAGGGAGGTGGAAAACCTTACATCTACTTCAATTTTAATATTGACATCAAGAAAGGAAATCTTTCTTGCCACTGAATGTGTGAAGGAAAGATTAAACCTGTTATCATCTAGTTTTTTTAGAAACTGGTCCAGGTCCTGCAAAGTACATGTCCATACCATGAGGATATCATCAATATACCTGTGCCATAACAATATGTGTCACAGATACATTGATAAGTCCTCCCTGGAAAATAGCTGTCGCTCCCATCCCCCCAGGTACAAGTTACCTTATGATGGGTCTCAACAAGTCCCTATTGCAATGCCTTGGACCTGGAGGAAGTGGGAGCCAGCATATAAAAATACATTACTATGTAAGATGTGTTTTTAGAAAGTCCAAAATGAATTAATTCAAATGCCATGGGGCCTTATTCACTTCTAAGAGGAAGGATTCCACCACCTTTAGGCCATGGTTGTGTGGAATACTGGAATACGGTGCTTCCACATCAACCACAACCAACTGTGCCTCTTTTGGTACCATAACATCATCTAAAACTCGCAATAAATTAGGAGTGTCTTAATATATTAGGGTAGGCATGTTACATGTGGCAATAAGAAAAAATAAATAAACCTGCTGCCTGGCTCCGTGTAGACCCCAATTCTTGAAATAATGGGGCAGCCAGGAGGGTTTGCAGAATTCTCATGAATCTTGAGCAGTGAGTAAAATGCTGGCATTCTAGGATGCGTTACTTTTAGGTATTCATACATTTCCTTATCAATAATTGCTGTATTGCAAGCTCTTGCAATAAGTATCATAAACTCCTGTCTAAAGGTTTTGAATGCTTCCCTTGAAATTAGTTTATACAATTTTTGATTTTGCAATAAGATTTTACACATGTTATCATAATTCTGGCAATTCCAATCCATCACCACCACATTCCTGCCTTAATCAGCAGGCTTTATAGTGATGGATGTATTCCTTTGCAACCCTTCTACCACCTCTAACTGCTTTGTTGTCAAGTTAGTGTCCACCATCTGAAGTGGATTAATGGCTTCAATTTCCTTTATTGTTTGTGAGAGGCATTCAAGTCAAACAGGGACTTTTAATTTTACAGGTATATAAAGGCATGCTAGCATGGCCGTACAACATGCAGTAGTAAGTGGCAAGTGTGTCCTATTACTGGTTGTTGTGGGTCAGTCCAGAGATCGTTACTCAAGATGCACGGAACAGTGTGTGGTGATGAAGTTTCTTCTGAATGATGGTGTAAACCTGTAGATATTTACAGAAGACATCAAGCACAGTATGGTGATGAGATGCTCATCCACAGTAAGACATTTGATTGGTGCAAGCGTTTCAAAGATGGACGTACATCAATCAGTGGTGGTTTCCTGCCCACAGCAGTCTTTTCTGTGAACATTCAGCATGTGGATTGTTTGATCCTGGATAATCAACACATAACCTATTGTGAAATTGCACAAGAGACAAATCTTTCTGTGGGAAAGGTAAACACAATCATGACGAAGTAAAGCAGGCTGTCCTAGGATGGTTCAGGCGTACTGACAAATCTTACTATGCCAAAGCTTTCCTGGCATTAGTTAAAACACTGGGATAAGTGCATAAATGTAGCGGTGGGTATGTAAAAAAATAAATGCAGTGTCCACTCCTTGAAATGTGTTTTTATTATATAAACTCAGAAGTCCCACTTTGACTTGAACGCCCCTCATACATGGGAAGATCTTCAATTAAGAAAACTTGCTGGACCTAGGTTTAAAAGACTTATGGTTCCTCTGTGTTATTTTAGTTTCTTCTTCTTCCTCAAATGACAACACTGGCTCTGACTCTGCTTGCTCATCTGTCTGCTCATTTTTATTGAGTAGTTGGATTAAATCCCTTAAGGCTCTGAAATTATCCATAGTATAATTTTTGAACTGCTCTGCCTTATCTTCAACCTTGCAGTTGTGATCCTTATCAAACAAATATTTGAACGTAAGCCTTTTGGTGAAGAAGTACATGTCCTTGATAAGTACAAATTTGTCAATGGCCTGCTCCGGACAGAAGTTCAGGCCAAAGAATATGACCCAGCTCCTCCTCTGCAGTGAGGTCATAGGAAGATAGATTAACTACACTCAATTGTATTGGTTGGCACTCTACTGTACCACTGATTTAGTGGTTCCTCCCATCCCTTGCTTGAAATTGTGTAATAAGGGTGTATTGTTTTACTTTATCTATATTGTTTTTAGGTTTGTATATGTTTTGAAAACAATGAGCGACTTAGCACTCCTTTAATTTGAAAGAAATAATGCAATAAAGGAAGAAGTATGTATTTTAAAACAGAAGTGTTGTGCCTCAAAAATCTCATTTACTTTTCTGCATTCCTTTTTGTCTAGGTATTCTCAATTCATTATAAAGGTTGAATGTACCTGGAAGCACACCTTTCTGGTCTTCAACAAAATCTGTAAACTGGGTTGGACATTTCTTCCCTCCCACGGCACTTCAAAATCTCCAAACTATGGAGCCCAATCCAGAAATACCAAAATCCAGAGAAAGCTGTAAAAACAGTTTTCTGTGGTCAAATAAATACTCCAGAGTCCCTCAGTCTGCACACTCGTCAACCCTGTGTCTTATTTCAACCATTTTCCCAGTGGCAGGGCTTCGCACTGTCACACTGTACTAAGTGGTTTTGTGGTTTGGTACAGTAGTTTGTGGTACATCCTCCACAAAAGTGCATTTTCTACTGACATGAACAAATATACTGCATAACTGTTTACACTAGCCAAGGGATAAACACTGGAAAATAAATATACATTCAGGAGGCAGTTATCAAGCTTATCATAGGAAACAATTTTTGAATGCCTAATAAATTAAAAATGTTATTTAATTAAGAACTGAAATTTGTTTTCCATATCTTTTTTAGTACACAACGATCATGAAACCAGCATATTTTTAGATTTAGCACACGCATATCAGAAAACTTAAATTTCTTCCTGCCAGCAAAGAAATTGCATCAATATAATAAAAAAAGTTTTAAACAAATTATAGGATTTGTGAAAACACCCAGTTTACCCACGGATAGGTAACAATCTGATGAAATGTTATTTCACCTGCTTTGTGTGATTTAATTGCATTTGGTTGTCTGAATACATTTAGAAGCCTTTAGGACATAAACTACCATCTTAAACATATTAGCTCTATTTTCTAAATTCCTATTTCACTCAGTAAAACTTTTTTACGATAATAAGTTCCCTCAGATATATATTAACCCTTGTGCTTTTCCCTGTTCTTTTTATTTATTACATCTTATTTAAGCAGAATAGGCCTGCTAATATTGAATTGCCTTATAAACAATAAAACCATATTTGCTTTCATTTACCTTTTATTGCCTTTTTTAAAATCCACTAAGCAATTATCTGGTGCACAGTCCCATGAATCTTAAAAACTATCCATAAACACAAGACCTTTATTTGTAACAAATGTGTAAGCCGGCAACAATTAAGACATGCAATTTATTTAGCAATTATAGGAAATGACTTACATAAAAGTGTGCTAGGGTCTATAGCTAAATAAAATAGTGGGGTTGTGTTCCCAGAAGAAATATCCGCTTTAGGGCTTATTATCAGATTTTTTTGATCTTTAAGTTTTTTCTAGGACTTATTTTCCACAAGTGGGTGGTTTAGTTTTTAGTTTCTAAAGAATATATGGTTCAGTATCTAGTCAAAGCATCTTCACTTTGTGCATTATAAAAAAAAAAAAAACAAACAGTACACAGTTCTGGACTTACCTTTGAAAAGCCTTTAGCTGATGGCGCACACACAACTTCTTCCAGGCCTTTTTTCACCTACTTTCAACCAGTTTAATTACAAAATTGTCCAAAAGGATGAGCACAATCTTGATCAATAATTCCTATTGACACTATGATGGTTATTTACTAAAACTGCGGAATGCAAAATCTGGTGCAGCTCCATGTACCATGTACAGCTGCACTAAATTCTGAGTGCTCTAGTTTTAGTAAATTCCCTCTTATGTGGTGGTAGGCTCCCTGAATGCTTTAGTAGCTTTTGTGAAAGTGGTTGAAATGTATTTAAAACTGCTATCTATGGCCTTCATTAAATACCAAAGCTTTTCTTATTTGGTCTCTTTTGGATCTATTATTATAGCATTAAATGCGTATTGTTATATCTGTTCCAAAAGTGCAAAATTTGCAAAAGTGGATTTTTCCCCCAAAATTACTGTGTAACACCCTTTCCCCTCACTTGCTTAATAAAATGAAAAAATGCAGACACTGTCAAGGAAGTATTTTCAATTTTAGTAAGCGATAGAAAACCACATCAAGTGGGTCACAGAATGAAGAAATCAGTATCTAGAGTACCGTATTTTTTGCTACATAAGACTCACCTGACCATAAGATGCACCTAGGTTTTAGAGGAGAAAAACAAGAAAAAAAATATTCTAAACCAAGACTACAGCAATAGTACAGGAGATAACCAGAAACTAAAGACATAGTACAGGAGATGACCAGACACTGCAGACATAGTACAGAAGATGACCAGAGACTACAGACATAGTACAGGAGATGACCAGAGACTGCAGACATAGTACAGGAGATGACCAGAGACTACAGGACATAGTACGGGAGATGACCAGAGACTGCGGACATAGTACAGGAGATGACCAGAGACTGCGGACATAGTACAGGAGATGACCAGAGACTGCGGACATAGTACAGGAGATGACCAGAGACTGCAGACATAGTACAGGAATGACCAGAGACTACAGGACATAGTACGGGAGATGACCAGAGACTGCGGACATAGTACAGGAGATGACCAGAGACTGCGGACATAGTACCGGAGATGACCAGAGACTGCGGACATAGTACAGGAGATGATCAGAGACTGCGGACATAGTACAGGAGATGATCAGAGACTGCGGACATAGTACAGGAGATGATCAGAGACTGCGGACATAGTACAGGAGATGACTGCAGACACACTACTGGAGATGACCAGAGACTGCAGACACATTACAGGGGATGAACAGAGTTCTTTCAGCAATGCACAGATGTACAGCTTGTGAAAAGCAACTCAGGGTTTGGTATAACAGTCCACAGGCAGTCCATGGGGGGAAGGACATACCTGGCCAGCCATGCTCAGCATCCTCTCTGAGGTCCAGGGGCAGGGCACAAGTTCTAGTACAGCAGCTCCCTTTCGAGCATACAGGCTGCATGGGGTGGGGTCAGTGGAGCTTCTAGACCTGGCCCTGCCCCCTCCCTGCTGGCTGGCCTGGTATTCTAACATGGCGGCGGCGACGAGGGGAGGAGGCTTGGTCAATATTCGTTCCATAAGACGCACATACATTTCCCCCCATTTTTTGGGGGGAGTGGTGCATCTTTTGGAGCGAAAAATACGGTAATCTCAATATGTTTCTCAGGTTAGCGCTAATGAACTGAATAAACATATTATGTTGGAAAGGGATTATAATGTCACCTTAAAAAATAACTTGATTTGTATGCTGGTACCTTGTACTTCCTTATAGTCTACTTTAAATAAAAAAAAAACTGTTGATACTGCCAGAAGTCTAGTGAGCTGATAACTCCCTGTGCATTGCCAGTCCTGCAATGTTATCAATTTGCTTTGTTCCTAATTCTCTCTGTGGACTAGTAGAACACCATCCCACTATAATACAGTATGGAGATAAGGAGAGAGGGACATGTCTTATAGCCCTAAAACACTTCCTGTCCTATGGTGACAATGCTTCTACTCCATTGATACATTACAGCTAGCAAGAATTGTCACCTTATAAATGTGAAGTATGTTCCTGTCCACATCACCAGGTGAAAATGAATAGAAATTAAATGCCGCTGACATATCTAGGAAATGGCAAGCTGGAATATGTTATATTTTGTTTTTGGGTTTTGTGATATGGGTTGATTAGGCTCAGTTGGTAGATGTATTTTTTAGTGAGTCATGCCAGTCCAACTGAACAGTTTAAGGGTTTGCCAGGCAAATTTTATTGGAAAAGGAAAAAATAAAGTTCACAGACATGGTTGCCCATACAGGGGTTATTCTCCAGCAAAAAGGCAATAACAGAAAAATAAACCAAAAAGTACAACGCTTAAACGTAATGCAAAATTGCTTAAAGTGCAGTATAGAATACAATGTAAACAAAACTTCATACATAAGCAAATAAACAAGAACACAATGTGCAAAAAGTGTACATGAAAAACAATCAGTGGTGGGTTTGATTAGACCACACACATAACAATTAGTGAACAATCACGATGTGCTCAAAGAGGAATCCATTGAAAGGCATGTACACACTTCATAGGTAGATGATGTTAACCCCAATTCTCAGGAAGCTTAGTTCTCAATTTAATTCCACATCCATCAGGGGCAAAACAGTAAATATATAATGCTTACCAGGTCAGCATGACCCTCAAATCATGAGCAGTCAAATACATTTGTGGGGTTGGTCCCAAGCAACCAAGGAAAACTTCACTTCTCCCTATATGGAAGCCAGACTCATAGACAATGGAAATAGAAAGAGAAGCAAGGCCGCATAATATAGCAAGACCAGAATAACTTTTTTATTAAAATATAAAATATGCACTCGCGTAGTAAACCTTGGTACCATGAATCATAATATAAAAGTAAGTTCCAATCGTCCAGCCACAGTGCATGATGGCATCACACATCACATCAGACTGTTTAAATAACAGAGCCACCTGGCTATTTTTTCAGCAGCATCACTGCTCCTGTAGTCCTAGCTCCCAGCTCTAGTTAGGGGTTCTCCCTGAACCCTGCTCTCTCTATATATGGGGTCTCCAGGCACCTTGGGTTCTCATACTCCTCCTGGGACTTACAAACTCCCTCCAGTCCCCTGGATTTGCTAGTCCCCTCAGCTTTCTCATTCTCCACAGACTCATGCAGCTATCCCGACTTTCCCAGTCTTGTCCAGCAGGAGCACATAGCTCCCTGACTGGGCTCTGTCTCCAAAATGAAAAGCACTTGCTTATAACAAGCATGCCCACATTCATACTCACACAGCCTGTAGGCCTCCAATAAGACCTGGTCACAGAACTTTCTGGATGACAGGTGTGGAGTTATGCAGATGGCAGCATGAATATTGATACAGAGAGAGAGGGGAGCTAAGGCATGCTAGGTAACTGTATATATTCAGTAAGCACACTGGGCTCTGGGTCTTTCCTGGCTAGGATTTGACAAGCCTGGGAGAGAGCATGTAGCCCTCCCAAGCAGTTGCTGCTGTAAGCCTCAGGTGGGATACCTAAGGACCTGAATTGCTGAGACCTGGGTTCTTCTACAATGACTAAGGGGCTGTTTCCTGAAGATATGGTCTGGTATCATGGAGGAAGGCGTCCAGTTGCTTTTGGGCCTTGTGAGTACATAAATTCTTAAGGATCTTAGAGACTGAGTGCTGTTTAACCCCCTCTGGTGCTAGGAAGTTAGCTGCAGGCTTAGCAAAAGGAAGGCCAGTGTTCCAAGGAGCCTTGTCCACCTGTCCACTACTATTCAAAGAGACACTGCTCTGGGGCTCTAAAAAAGTTACTTTTGTCACTGCTGTTGCTTGTTACTACTGCCTAAAGCTGAAGCCCACTGTTTGATTCAAGCAAAGACTCCAATACAGCTTGCCCTGAAGATTAGACTAAGTCATCAATGTACATAGTTCCTAATTTGGAGTATCCCACTCATCTTCCTCATCCCTATCTCAACTATTCAAAAATTAAAAGAACAAAAACAACACCCCTCATTCTCATTGGAGAAATATGTGAATGAGCCTATGTGCAGCCTATGGGGAAGGCAAAGTAACTGGGGAGAACCTGGACAGTATTCCAGCAGCCCTTATGGGAGTAGCACTACAGCTAAGGCTCATCTCCAGGCATGATATTTTTTGTAGCTCCCTGTCACTGTAGTGTAGGTTTGTAAATACATTTTCTCTACCTTGTTACACAGTGCATCAACAATCAATTTTATTACCTTTAATGTCATCACTCACTGTGGAGAATTCTAGCACCTCTATCTGCCAGGAGGGGCATTCTACAATGCATCTTACATCACATCCAAGTACCTGCAGAACTACAATTTCCATGAGTCTTCAGCCCCCACACAGGGTGTGTGGGTGAGCTCTTGGGAAGCAAATCATAGCAGTGGACTGGCTGTGAGCGGTGACTGAAAACTCCCCTTTACCCGCTACAACATCAGAATTCAGGCATTTAGAACATACAGTATACAGTACATATACACTCATGCAGACTAAAGCCATACTGTTTTGTGCACTTTACAGAAATATTCAGTTCATACAGCCCTGGCAGTCTGCACTCTTCTAATTCACTGGGATGTGGGTGGGCTTATAATTCAGAACTTCAACTGCCAGTATCTCAATCACCTAAGTAGCAATGAAAAGAGGTAGACTGAGATAAGAGAGAGAAGAAGGGTGAGGCTTTGGGAGAAGCTGCACCAGACTGGATGGAAGAGGTAATGACAATTTAAATATACCCACTCATTCAATTTAGACTAACTGACACAGTTACATCAGTGCAAGCTGAAATTACACTACTTGGGGCATTGAAAGGACCCGTCACCCTGTCGACACAGAGTCACCAGAGGTAAACAGTCTCTTGAACAGGAAATACTAGGCTCCCGTTGCATGAAGAGTCATTTATGGTGAACAATGAAGGGGGGGGAAGCATTGAAAGAGAAATGCAAACACATCATAATAAAGGTTAGAGATTCTCTGCATCTGCATGAAATTTCAAATTGCCTGGATATAAGCTTTAATTATGGATCACCATAGATAAACAATAAGTTGAAGTTGTGCACGATAACGTATGCTAATACATGTGCACTGCTCATGTTGTTAAGTCTACAACAGTCTTCTAGAAATTTCTTTGTTTTCTGTTCCCCCTGTGCTAAACTAGACACCCAATTAGTTTTTCACTAACTTTTTTTTTTTTTTTGTGACGGTGTCAGGGAATGGGAAGATCGCCTCGGCGATCGAATCTGCACATGCGTAGAATCCTGACAAGACATACAGGCAGGCAGGCAGGCACTAGGACCCAGGCGCGCCTGTCACCGATGACTGCGCCGGGCAGGCACTAGGACCCAGGAGCGCCTGTCAGGAGTTGGGCGGCCTATTTAAACCCAGCTCTTGCAATGCTCAAGTGCCGTATGGTCTTACCTGTTACCTGTGTTCCTGTTTGATCCAGTGTTCCTGAATACCTTGTTGCTGACCCAGCCTGTTCCTGATACTGCTGTCTTCTCCTGCTCTGATCCCTGGCTTGTCTGACCATTCTCCTGCTTAACCCTGCACGTTCTGATCTCCTGTTAACGAACCCGGCTTGTGACCAGTTTATTCCTCTGCCTGCTGACTTTGTACCACGCTGCCACCACTGTTACCGACCCAGCCTGCCTGACGCTGCTCTTGTGACCTCCTCACATCAGACTCTCACCTGCTATACACCTCCAACGGTGCTTCTACCACAGCTGGGTGAACTCAAGGGCCCCGACCTGGTCTCGGCCTGCTCCAAGTCCATCCCCACCATCAGGGGCCCTGGTGAACAAGCAGGTAGGGACTTAGATTCCGCGCCTTGGGGGAATCCGGTCTGTGGAGTGCTAGAGGCTACCGCTGTAGGATCCCTGACAGAACCATACGGCCATGACAGAGTCCACCCTGGGACAACATCTGGCAGTCTGGAGGAGGGATACAAGCACCTGGAGGGACAGGTTCAGAGCCTGGCCGCACCAACACCCACAACATTGGGCTCAGTGGGAACACCTCCCGCCACGGGTTCAGCAGGGCCTTCCACTGGAGCAGCATTTACAATTCCTCCGCCAGAACCAAGAGTACCGACCCCTGAGCGGTTCAGTGGGGATCGAGGGAAGTTCAGGGCCTTCCAAAACTCCTGCCAGCTATACTTTGACCTGCAACCCCGGACCTTCTCTTCAGAATCGCTGAAGGTGGGGATTTGTTATATCCCTGTTGCAGGGCGAACCTCAGGGATGGGCCCATCGCCTGATGGAGGCCCACCACCCACATTTGAACACTGTGGCCACCTTCTTTAAGGCAATGGCACAGCTGTACGATGACCCGCATCGAGCTGCCTCGGCTG